ATTCCAGATTCACCTAGAAGAGTAGTAAAGTCAAGCATATAAAACGGGTTCATCGTCTAGAACAACTTTAATATATAGCTACATATATAGTCGAGTAAGAATATGTTAAACTCTTCTTCTGGTTTCGGAATTAGAAATAAACAGTGCGATATCATTTGGATGCGACTTTATAAGAAAATTATGGATTATATTATGCTATCGTGTTGATTAACTTTATTTCGTTATACTTCTTCATTTTTTCATCTTAATATAAAAACGTTGTCCATATTTTTTTTGAGAATTTAAAGATCTGACCATCAAATAGTGTTACATTTTTAGAAGTCCCACCCAGTGCTACTAAACTGCAGCTGATTCGAACTTTTAAACTGCCTCCAATTTTCACAGTGAATGCCTCTGATAGCAGCGTAACCAGCCACAACAATGTTATTTCAAGTTCAAAACGTTTCAGATTTCCTAGAAAAACGCCGTGCCCACGGTTCAGACCGAGGAATCTGTCCTTATTGTCAGAAGAACTACAAACGACACTTATTTCGGCACATAATGGGAGTTCATCTGAACGAGAAACCCTACAAGTGTGACTACTGTGAAGTCCGGTTTATTCAGAAGAGTGATAAAGTGAAGCATGTCAGCAGGATGCATGGCAGGACATTTCCAGAACTGAGCTCGGAACTGTATCTCAAGGAAGATTCAACTGTGTAGCAGTGGACAGTGAACTGGAGATGATCTTCTTGTTAGATAAATTATCAGATTTGTTAAAGTGTTTCTTGTATTTTCATGTTCTTTATAATTTCATCATAGCTCTTTGTTAATGTTGCGTTTATCCAGTGGTAGTACAATGCTGAAGACGTAGGACTTATCACAATATGCAGTCACATACCGTCCTCTTAAAATACCATCCTGTAGTTGAATTGTACCTTCGTCCTTCTTCGGACGTTTTATTTTTACAACGTTTCAGATTTTCTCACTAAGCGCCTTGCTCACGGTGAAGACCACGGTCGGTGCCCCTACTGTCAGAAATACTTCCAGAGAAACCTGGGGAGACACATAAAAGGCGTTCATTTCAAAGTGAAGCCTTTTAAGTGTGAATACTGTGAATCGAGATTCAGTCAGAAAAGTGACCGATTTAAGCATATTAAACGGATTCATGGCGAAGGAAGATTCAAACAATGTTATTTCAAGTTCAAAACGTTTCAAATTTCCTAGAAAAACGCCGTGCCCACGGTTCAGACCGAGGAATCTGTCCTTATTGTCAGAAGAACTACAAACGACACTTATTTCGGCACATAATGGGAGTTCATCTGAACGAGAAACCCTACAAGTGTGACTACTGTGAAGTCCGGTTTATTCAGAAGAGTGATAAAGTGAAGCATGTCAGCAGGATGCATGGCAGGACATTTCCAGAACTGAGCTCGGAACTGTATCTCAAGGAAGATTCAACTGTGTAGCAGTGGACAGTGAACTGGAGATGATCTTCTTGTTAGATAAATTATCAGATTTGTTAAAGTGTTTCTTGTATTTTCATGTTCTTTATAATTTCATCATAGCTCTTTGTTAATGTTGCGTTTATCCAGTGGTAGTACAATGCTGAAGACGTAGGACTTATCACAATATGCAGTCACATACCGTCCTCCTAAAATACCATCCTGTAGTTGAATTGTACCTTCTTCGGACGTTTTATTTTTACAACGTTTCAGATTTTCTCACTAAGCGCCTTGCTCACGGTGAAGACCACGGTCGGTGCCCCTATTGTCAGAAATACTTCCAGAGAAACCTGCGGAGACACATCATGGGAGTGCACCTCAAAATGAAGCCCTACAAATGCGACTATTGTGATTCCAGATTTACTCAGAAAAGTAGCAGGGTTGATCATGTGAGACGGTTACATTGCGGCGGAAAAGATTTTGTTTTCAAAGTTGATAAGTTGGATAGACAGTAAATCTAGGATTGGTGCCTTAGGAGGGACAGTTAATTGACATTTGAACTGGTGTTAAATAGTTGCAGAATCAAAAAATACTCTTGTGTAATGGTTTAAGTTAATTTATAGCATCTAAATTTCAAGATCTGCATCAGAATAATATGATAAATCCGCAATCTTTAAATATCGCCCATGGCTAGTTCATAACGTGCTTTTTGCCTGATACATCTGATTGATTCTAAAAACCGTTTCAGATTCTATAGTAACCCAGTCCAATGACGTCACTGTTACGTCACTAGTAACCCAGCCCACTGACCCAGACCTGGGAATTTGCCCTTACTGCCAGAAAGTCTGCAAGAAAAACCTACGTAGACACATAAGAGCAGTGCACCTTGGTCTGAAGCCATACAAGTGTGACTACTGTAGTGCTAGGTTCATTCAGAAGAGTGATAAAGTCAAGCATTTTAGGAATGTGCACGTCATGAAACAACAGACATATAATTGTGAATAAGAAGTGGTCTGGAATTGGTGATCGAGAATAATCCGTCCCATTAGCATTGAACAGTTGATACCCTGGCTGTTAGATACACGCCTAGATACTTTCAGAAACCGTTGTTTCATCTGAATTTTCTTTTTACACTCATAAGATATATTCTGAGGTTATACACACCACAATGAACATCGTAGTAATGCATTACAAGGTTAAAGAAGCGATGGAATGCATCAGAATTTATTACCATCCAACGTAATACTGTAAAAGGAATATAGACATTAGCTGTCCCCTATTTATTTTAACAACGTTTCAGATGTGCTCCCAACAGGTTATTATCGAGGCTCTAGTGAAGACCAAGGCTATTGTCCTTACTGCCAGAAACTCTTCCAAAGACATCTACTCAGACACATAAAAGGAGTCCACTTCAAAGTGAAGTCTTTCCAGTGTGAATACTGTGGTTTGAGATTTAGTCAAAAGAGTCACAAAGCCAGTCACGTGAACCGAAGACATCGGAAATGAGTTAGAACTTAGAAGTGCCTCCAACAAAAATTGTATCTTGATTTTTCGGTACAAAGACTGGCAGAATTTGTTAATATCCTATTTTTGGTATGTTACTTAAATTGCCCTTTTCAATTTGACTTTCTAGTTCAAGCCTGGCATTCTATCATATAACAACAGTAATGCCATCCCAAATAAATAATGAGCTACAATGAGTGTATCACACCTAGTCTTCAATGACCTAAAGAAGAAAGCTGGTTTTTATGCATATTTCAGGTTCATGGAGAATGCCCAAAGGAAACCGTGGAACCTGCCCCTTCTGCCAACGAAGTTGTTCAGGAAACTTACATAGGCACATCAAGTGGGTGCACCTTGGTCTGAAGCCATATAAATGCGGATATTGTGATGCGAGGTTCACTCAGAATAGTAATAGAATCGATCATATTAAACGGATTCATCGTAATTCGTAATGGATAATATTTACATTTCTAAAAACAGCGATGAAGATTACATTTGGAGCTTGTACCAAAGCTAAAGATTAAGCAATAAATTAACATTTAAACGTTTGGATCCATGCTTGAATCTATATTTTATGACTCAGTTGATAATTAAGTCGCTACAGATAACATCTTATTATTTGTTCTTTTAATAAAGCTCTTTAATAGATTTTTGATAAATATTACGGAAAATGGAGATAGTAGATGTATCATTTATCAGCAATGTTGAACAGTTTTACCTGCACATTTATCACGAAGGAGCAACCAAAGGAATTTGGACCTTAATTCACTTATTTCACTCCAATGACTTTTTCGAACATATAAATTTCAGGTCCATGGCAAATGCCCAAGGGAAACCAAGGAACATGTCCCTACTGCTTGAAGTACTGTTCAGGGAACTTACAAAGGCACATCAAGGGAGTTCACTTAGGGTTTAAACCCTTCAAGTGTCCATATTGTGACAAGAGATTTATACAAAACTGTGATAGGCTCAAGCACGTCAGCCGAATGCATTGAAGTTTTTTGTTTCGTATAAAAGTTTTTGGGCTGAATTTATTTACAAGATATGATAGCGCATTTTGTAACCATAGTAACCACAAGATATTTTGGGACAAAAATGTAATTCTCTTATTTAGACGATAAATTCGGGTTCTTTCCTTTTTCTCTCTTAATAGGTGGCCTGTGTTAATAGTTGGTCGTTGATAGTCATCGTAAATGTTAATTTTTAAGGCTTTGCAGAGAAAATCGCTCTACTGATGTAGATGGCACAATACCCTAAATTCTATTTGGTCATACATGCTGGACTCTAAAATATTTCAGGTCTTCCAAATGCAGTTTATATGACAAAAGTTAGTCAAGAAACATGTCCTTACTGTCATAGATACAGCTCAGTCAGCCCCGGAAACTTAAAGAGACATATCAGAGGAGTTCATCTCCGCTTCAAACCCTTCAAATGTCATATTTGTGACAAGGGGTTCATTCATAATACTGATCGTTTGAGGCATACGAAAAGTTGTGAAAAGAAAAACTATAAAAAGTGACTTATACCCTGATAAAAGCTTTGTTGGTATCATAACTCATGTTCTCTTAGTCTGAAAATTTATTAACCGTTTTAATGCAGTAAGGTTTTTTATAGCTCACCAAAAATCCTTGGGCTTAGATGAAATGATTCTGCTTCACCGTCGAGCATTTGAACGCAACTCAATTTGGTTCACTTCAAATGAAGTGAACCAAAATAAGATTCTATCTTCACAAATTTAATGCAGGCATTGCAATATATCTTTCATCATTTTCAGGCACCACAGATCAAGACTTTGGCCCGTGTCCATTCTGTCATTAGTATTTCGGTACCCATCTTAAAAGACATGTAAACGGCGTCCACTTAGGTCGCAAGCTGATCAAATGCGAGTACTGTGACAAGAGATTCATCCAAAATAGTGATAAAATAAGGCATTGCAAACGGAAACATAGGCTGATACTGATAAACAGTGGAAAGGGAATTTGATGTTTGGAGATGAAGTCTTGAATATTAACATTTTTATTATGGCCCTCATTATTTATGAATTAACAATGGAACTCATCGTCTCCCCGTGATATTTCGTGTATGAATAGCCGTGAGCATTGAGAAATATATTTATTATCAGGCAGATCAAATATGTAGCATCACACTCAATGTATCTCACTCAACTTACAGGTGCAAAAACTTACACGTGCAAAAACATTTCAGATCCTGAAAGCATTTATTACGCCCCTCCAATAAATTACAACGACTCCAAGAAATGTATCTCTGAGTCTAGACATCCTAAAGAACAGCGTGCAGTGTCCGGTTCGGTGTGTCCATTCTGTCACAAATCTTATTCAAGGCTGAACCGGCACGTGCAAGCAGTACATTTCAGAACTAAACACATCAAATGTGATTATTGTGATAAAAGATTTATTCAGAATAGTGATAAAATGAGACATATGAGGACGCATAAACACACACCGTATTAAAACCACTTTTTCATATGTAACTCCGCATTTAAATATCACGACGGCCTCCATTTCTAGGACAGGTTGTTACGTATCCATACACCTATGCTAACAGTCTCTGACTAAGATCTTGGCAAACAGCAAACTTCTGGCAAACAGCCAAATTCTGGGAATTGTAGTACTTTCTTTGGGATATTTTTACGATATGCTTCTAATTGAATTATTTAAGGGAATTAATTAATGATTGGAAATGCGTACTTGCATTACGTTTATTCGGTTGAAATTGTTTTAATATTTTTGCTTTTACAAATTCGATCACAGCTATCATTGGTGAATATCGTTTGGTTTTTAAACCATGTTTTAAGTTTTAAAGATTGTCTTGAAGTCTTGAAAATACTATTCAACACTACTTTACTATTTACAGATTTTTAGAATTTGTACCGTTGTTTTTCAACGAATGTTAAATTTATCAACTTTATATGCTTGTCTCCTTTCTTCACCTACTAATTTTAAAATCAACTTGATTGAAAACAATAATGAGCTTCAAAACTCAAAAACATACCACAATAAAAAACCAAAATTAGATTTTCTGGCTCTAAAACCCAAATTTCTGTAATACAAGTGGTCGTTCACACTTCACATATTATTACGGTCTCTCAAAGTAACCTCCCCACTCCCAGGTGTCCCTAAAATCCGTGATACCAACACCACCTGCCCCTACTGCCACAAGTTCTTTGCATCCCACCTGAAACGTCACATCACCGCCGTCCACTTCAAGCTGAAACCTTACGCGTGTGATCTGTGTGACTGGCGCTTCGGACGCAAAACTCATCTGGTGGTCCATATGGAGAGAAAACATAAGATTAATATGAAAAACTGTGCTGATTTGGATAGCACTGAGTCTGAGAATTTAGACGTAACCTTGTTGGATTAAGGTTTTTTGGCGTTTAAACTTCCCCACATTGTTGGCTTATACATGCTGTTGTCGTCCATGGTTAGTGATTATACACGAACAGTACCACGTTTATCTATATACATTTTTTTGTTTCATGCAAAAACTATCGATGATTTGCGATTAAAAATGTACTTTATTTATATAATTTTTCTTATTTCTTACCATTTGTTTTTGCACCTAATTTTTGCACAGCATGAAAGATATTTATATACTTACCGTATTGATTTTGTAGTTTGTTTCATTCGTAATCTCAGTGTCTTCTTTTTAGATTAAATGAATTTAAAAAGGCTAAGTCATCGCTGAATTTCTTGAATATGCAAAATATAAAGTTCTTTATAAAAAATTCCATCCTTCCAATTCCACAATCTAGATACTCAAGCGTTACCACATCAACTTGTAACACACAAGTTGATATCCACCATTTTCCATCTAATCTAGTGAATAAGTTGTGATAGGAAGCTATACTAGCCACTGTAAAGCATAGACCACAGTGTAAACCACAGCGTAAACCACAGCGTAAACCACAGTGTAAACACAGTACCCCCACCCAGGACCCCGTTACATGCAAGTAGAAGAGCCAGTCCAGTGTGCTCACTGCCACAAGAGATACAGTAGAGCCTCAAGTCTAGCTCGACATATCGCAGCAGTGCACCTCAAGCTTAAACCGTACAAGTGTTATTATTGTAGCAAGGAGTATACGCAGAGTGGACATAGGCTGGTGCATATGAGACTGGTACATGATCATCAAGTTAATAAGTGGTAGTCCGTGCAATTAGACAATTAGGTACGTGGACCAGGGTCCACTATTGGTTATTTTCTGTTACTCCGGCTAGTTTTATTTTACTTTCTGCTGGTTTCACAAGTAGCTTTTTAAATTTTTGGAAATAAATTTACCAATTTTTTGGGTATTTCAGTTTCTGTATTTAGTTTTTGTAATTTTTGTGCAACCAAGGGTTGCTTTTCCAATCAATTACGTAATACCTATTTTTTATTTCAATTGCACGATTATTTTCAAAATTTTGGCACAGATAGCATACCCAACATTGAATTTCTCAATAATCTTCGCTAAACTCCAAAATATGCTCATAGATCACCTATCCGTCCTACCCCAAATTTTAGACGTTTGAAATGACAAAATTAAAACTTCAGGCTCAACCCAGCTGCCATCGCAACTCGGAAACGTTTCCATGTCTGGCGGCGAATGCCCATATTGCAACCGTTACTTCAAGCAGATTAAAATACACATTCAGACAGTTCACTTCAAACTGAAACCCTACAAGTGTCAGTTTTGTAACCAGACATTTGGAAGGAGTGGGAACAGACTAATGCACATGAGAAACCGTCACCCAGTACTGTTCGATCAAAAGAAAGCGGAGATATTCTTCAGGAGAGAGCGGCTGGAGAGAGCTAACTTGTGAGAGAGGCTGGAGAGAGGCTGGAGAGAGCTAACTTGTGAGAGAGGCCCAGCTGGAGAGAGCAAACTTGTGAGACTGAGTCTGGTATTTTGCTGAGTGGGAACAATATTTTCATTTGTTAGGTTTTATTTTAACGGGAATATGACTGTCATGTCTTTATGTTAATCATTAGATTATGTAATTCTACGCATATTACGGTGGTCATTACAGCGGTGAATATATGGTACTAGACTTCGATAGAACTTATTGTTCCAACGCGAATATAATAATTTTCGTCCGCCGTTTCTAAAGCATCAGTCCGAAAAGCATCACTCTTAACTGTACACAACTTATGTTAAAAAGCACTCGTATTCTTTCTGCCCATAAGACCAAGACAATAATACCTCAGACTTCAGCCAACACCTCAAGAACATGGCTCAATACAAAACATACGAAGGTGAGTGTCCCTACTGCAAACGTTACTTCAAACAAGTAAAGATCCACGTAGAGACAGTCCATCTCAAGCTGAAGCAGTACAGGTGTCAGTTCTGTGATAAGAGGTTTGGAAGAAGTGGAGATAGACTCGTTCATATGAGGAATGTGCACACTGAGGTGTACGATAAGAAATCAGCTGAGCAGTTCTTTAAGAGGGAGAGAATGGAGAGGGAGAGATGGGGTTAAAGTGAGGGTTTTAGTTGGGGTTTGACTAGGGTTCATGTACTTTTAGGGACAAAATGTATTTTATTTGCCGGAACGTTAAGCTGATCTATTTTTTGGTATTTCAAGCATCTGTCTAGCCGATAAAGCTCCGTAAATCGATAAATCTTGAACAATAAAAAGGGTGTATCTTACTCCATATAATTGTGTTGTTGCATAAAGAATTGACATTACTTCTTCAGCCCGGAAACGGAAACCTCATAACCGCATTGGACTCTGCCCTCACTGCAACGTCCATTTTGCTCGCCTAGACATCCATATACCAACCGTACATCTCAAGCTGAAGCAGTACAGGTGTCAGTTCTGTGATAAGAGGTTTGGAAGAAGTGGAGATAGACTCGTTCATATGAGGAATGTGCACACTGAGGTGTACGATAAGAAATCAGCTGAGCAGTTCTTTAAGAGGGAGCGGATGGAGAGGGAGAGATGGGGTTAAAGTGAGGGTTTTAGTTGGGGTTTAACTGTGGTTTATATACAACATGTATTTTATTTGTCGGAACTTTTTGCTGATCCATTTTATATCGATAAATCTTAAAACAATAAAAGCGCAGTACAGTGAGGATGTATATCATTCCATATTATTATCATGTTGTTGCATTTCTCTTTATTTAAACCGTAATGAATTTTCATATTATGAGGTTCAAACAAAAAATACATAACTGGCCAAAAATGAAGTTCAAAAGATCCATATTATTATGGAAGTAGAAGTAAGAAGGTCACTCAGTGAAAAAAGTAATACCAATCAGCCAAATTAACGTCTAAGAATTCTCGTGATATGAATTAATACCTTGATTCTCTTCCTCACTTTAGTTGGAAAGAGCAGTGGAGTATGTCCTCACTGCAACAAACGGTTTGCCTTCCTAAACATCCACATCAAGGAGGTCCACCTCAAGATAAAATGTTTTAAATGCCAGTTTTGCAACAGAAGATTTGTGCGGAGTGGTAATAGACTTGCACACATGAGAAATGTACACAAAGAACTGTTTGATCGTAATGAAGCGGATAGATTCTTCAGAATGGAGCGAGAGGAGAATGGTATAAGAGTAGGGCGACCTAGCTCTTATTTGGAGACTGATTTTCATAATAATCGACCCTGAAGGTCTGGACTCCAACTACTGATGATAAAGTGTGTGGAATTGGATACTTTCGGTGACTGTTTCGTAGGAAGATATATTTTTGATGTAGAAGCTGAGATAACCCTGTTAAATCGAAATAACTTTTATTATCTGGTTTAATTTACTATATTCCACTGTCTTATTTTCTGGTAAAAAAGAACTATTAAAGTTGAACATCTAAACATGACGGTTGATTTGTCATAACATATTTTGAAAGCGATCCAATTCTTCCAAGATACATCTAGGATCTTAGTGATATTGACCCTCGAATTAAAAACCATATTAACAAGCATGATACCCTAACATTAAACCCGGTCTAATACAGTGGTGTTATGCAGAACTGTGCAATTTTAAGTTCTGACATAAATATTTAAAGAATTGACTTTGCCTTCCTCTTCAGCCCGGAAACGGAAGCCCCATGACCGCAGTGGACTATGCCCTCACTGCAACGTCCATTTCGCCCGCTTAGACATCCATATACCAACCGTACATCTGAAGATAAAACGGTTCAGATGTCAGTTCTGTGAGAAGAAATTTGGGACAAGTTGGAATAGACTGTCACATATGAGGAACGTTCACAGTAGACTGTTTGACCAGAGATCAGCAGACACTTTCTTTAAAGAGGAACGGATTGAGAACGATGTTAAGAGGGGACGGCCGTTTTCTGACATTCCACTTCCGGACGCGGGCGCTTGGGAGCTTATTTGATAATCGTCTGTTAGATTTCATATTTTTGTCGGCTTTTAAAACTTTTGAAACAAAAATGTGTAAATATTGGTTCAAATCAATCCTGCATAATTTATGTCCTGTTTTGTCACCAAAATGATCCTAAAATACTCTGTACACATGATCCGTTTATAAGAATTCGTTTACAAGTCCCCGTATTACCGTATATAAGTTCCCCTTTCAAGCCTAGAGAATATCCGCTTTCACGCCTTTGTCACCCCTATTATATCACATCTGTGTCACCCGTTCACTTCCTCAGCTGTATACCGCCTCCTCCCAGTTAGAGTTAGTGAACCCTCTGGTCACCACACGTACGGTCGTAGAGTCTGCCCTCACTGTAACAACAAATATGCCCGCTTGGACGTGCACATTAGAAACGTCCATCTGAAGATGAAACGGTTCCGCTGCCAATTTTGTGAGAAGAGGTTCGGCCAAAGTGGTCATAGGTTGGTTCACATGAGGAATGTTCATAAAGAGGTGTTCGATCAGACGGCAGCGGAAGAGTTCTTTAAGAGGGAACAGTTGGAGAGAACGCTAGCTCAGGGAAAACAACCAATCGGGTTGACAGCAAACTATGAAAATTTAAGATAGTACTATGATCTTATTAAATTCTGAGTTAGATTGTGATTAATGTTTTCCAGATTGGTTTCGGTAATGAGAGCAGTATATTTGTTAGTACGTAACACGAAGACCAAAAGAATTTGGGCACAATGATTTAATTCGGGGCATTATTCGTATGTATTTTAATTTTGTTTATATGCTGATTAGGATTTCAGTGTTTAAAGTGACCTAGTTATAGCGTCCCCGTAACATCTCTATTCATGCATTCACACAAAACCTCCAAATAGTTTGGGCACCTAAACTCGTTTACAGGCTCGTAAATGGTACCGCGACAATTGACCCCCCGACAATTGACCCCCCGACAATTGACCCCCCATGTAATTACACTGGGGTCAATTGATCGGGTTAGGGTCAGGGTTAGGGTCCTGGGTCCTGGGTCAGGGTCAGGGTTAGAGTTAGGGTTAGG